CTTCTTCATTAAGACTTGTATCTAATCTTTTTTTTTTTTTTTTCAAATTAAACCAGGGTGTTTAATTATAACAGAGTATCTGGTAGTGAAGCATGAAATAGGAAATAATTTAGTTAAACTCATTCTGGCTTGTTGTGCTTATTATTATTTGATTTCTTTCATTTATTTTGGGAAATAGGCAGTCCCTCTCTTACATTGTGTCATTTTACTGGTTTTATGTTACCGTTACTGAAACTGACAACAAGAATGACTGGATGTAGACAGTGTTAGTGTTGGACAGTGAGTCCAACAGGCTGGAGTTTAACTGACAACCTCCCAGGAGACCGTTCCCCCGACCTCCTGCATGATGAGTGGACTGTGCAGTAATGAGCCACGGGGTCTTAACGCTTCACTGCTTTGTTTACCTTGCAACTCTCTCTCTCTCTCTCACACACACACACACACACACCTTCTTTCCATCTGCTCACAGCAGGAAATGTTGCTGAAATTGATTTTCCTTTATTTTTCTTTTTTGTATTTGAAAGCCATTTGTTCACTGCTCATTTTGTGAAATTATACAGCGCATGTTTTCAGTATAATTTCCCCCCTAGCATTTCATGTTTAAAACACTGTATTGAATTGACTAGAGATATTGTATTTTTATGTCAGCGTCTAAAGTCACACAAATCATCAAAGCAGTTTTGTGGACGGAGAATAACTGAGCAAACGTAAAGGTCTGACAACGACCTTTAATCAAAGACCTTTTGCACCAATAACATTAAATCTTACTTTTATTTGTTTTTTCACTGCTTTAATGCCTTTCTTTCGCTCATGGTGAATTCACCACTCTGGTAAATTTCGTCGGTTTAGTAGGAAGCGCTGGATGAGCAAAACCTGTGTTGTTTGTTGTGCGGTACAGTGGTGCTGTGTGTTGTTTGAGATGTTTCGTTTTGAACCCGACACATATTCTTCTCTTCTCTGGCTTTGAAAACATCAAAGACGCACAAGGTGGTCACACCCTATAACAGCGATAAGCCCCTCAAATGCTGTTCTGCTCTGCAAATATGAAAGAGATTCTTTCATCCACTTTTCTGTGGTTTCCCGTGTAAAGAGGCCGAGCCTCCTCAGAGAAACAGAATACAAACCAGTACAGTTCAGTCTTAGGTCTTACTTTGGAAGAACATGTGGTGGTCACCTGATCTCAAAAGTCTGCCCCCTGTGCTTGGTTTAGGATACTGTTGCTGTGATGTAATGTTCAGATTTTTGCCAATAGAAAAGTCTGACTTACGTCTGGCAGCCACAATAAAGTTCCCAACAAACAACACAAAAAAAGAAAGCAAATCAAGCACACTGCACTGTACGGAGTAGACAAAGCTGTCGTCCGTGTAAGGCACCGTGTCTAGTTGGCATATTTAAATGCTGGAACGGAACAGGGACGTTGAACCGAGGATCTCTGCATTGGCAATGACGATCATGGGAATCTGACAATTACATTGTTTGTCAGCCAGAAACTGAAGAAACCAAACATCACAAACCTACTGTTCTTTGGACTTAACTGCAGTTTAACAAGTCTGTTGTTTCTGATGATGAAATCAAGCAAAACTTTCATCTGTTTTGGCTTGACACACATGCAAAGTGGTTGAAAACTTAAAATAAAAAAATGATTATCTATATATTAAAAAAAAGAAAACACATCAGCTTTTCTCTGTGCTATTTGGAAACAGACTAAAATAATTACACTTTGCTTTTATCCTCCCAATGTTGAACACTGTAGCCTGAAGAACAGGAAAAGGATTTTCTTTAATACAAAGCATTTGCTCCCTTTGATACAAATGATCACACACAACCGTGAGTGTGTGTGTGTGTGTAAATTGAACAGCAGAACAGTCCAGTTCATTATCACCGATAAAACCCTCAGATACAAAGTGTTTCCCAGCTCGGTTTTCTATCTTTGCTCTGTGGCTGCAGGAAAAGCTGCTGTAATAGTCTTGAGTTTTGTGCTGATAATGAAGAGCGAATGAAAAAGTTTTCTGCTTTGTCTGGTGTTTCTTTCAGGAAACCACCAGTGGTTTGTGTTTGTGTCTTCATACCCAGTGAGATGATGTGGGTCGTTCAGTTTACTGAACTTTTGAGGTCACGCATCACTCAGAGGCAATTACTGTCACCATGACTAAATGGATTTTTCTCATATCAGGATAAATGGTTTCCCATTCCGCCCATTACTGTAAGAATAAACCAATTACTGCTCCTGACCAATGGTCTGCACAGTATTAAAAAAAAAAAAATCATTCTGTCTTCTTCATGCTCCAGTAATCCCACAAATCCAATGCTTTTAACAATCTTTTCTCAGGAAATGATCATGAACAATCCCTCTTTCCAGCTAACCTAAATAATTAGAGCCAGATTATTGAAAAAAAAAAAGAGACAGCGACTGAAAAAAGAATATTGTCCCTGTCATTGTTTTTTTTACTATTATTTTTATTTATTATTCTTTACGTACGTCACAATGACCTGATTTGTAAAATAAATCAGGAATATTTTTAAAAGATATTTTAGAAGAGCTATTTTTGGTATATAATAAAATAAAAATGTATTAAACATTTTCATCAGTATTTTTCCAAACTTTATCTCCCAGCTTTTTTTTTTTTTTAGGTCTTTTTTAGGTCTTGTCCCAGTTTTCAAAATAACTGCTCTGTGGGGGAACGTCCGTCTGTGGGTCAGAAACTTTGGACACCACAGCTGTAATGAAAAGGCAGCACTTTTGTCGAGTTTGAGTTCAGAGGTAACGGCTCTGCTTTTTAATTAAACTTTATTTTTCCCTCGTGTTTTCTGATTTCTTTTTTTTCTTTTTTCTGGAGGAGGAAGAATATAAAGACAACACTCCTCTAAGTCCTCACATATTTGACAAAATAAGGTAAGAATCGTATCTTCACCTTCCTGTCAGTCTTTATGACAAATGTGAAAACATGATCTGAGAAACATTCCGTCAGTCGTTAGATATAATGAAGAACACTGCATTAGCTTGTCTCCAGCTCCAGTGTGACCTGACAGAGATGTCAACAAAAGGCTCGGCTGTTCACCTCATTTAAACCTGCTTCCCTGATCACACATTTTTCTAATGTAATCTTTTTGATAAGGTGGATGTTGAATACAAAAAAAAATGTAGTTCATAATAACACAGAAAACCAAAGCCAAAAACCTCCAACCATCCAGAGGAAACTGTGACAGGGCTGTTATGAAACTAAGTTGTTTGACCACAGAAGACATTAGTGACCCTCAGGTTGACCAGCAGTGAACAAACACTTATATATTTGCTCTCATTTACACCGGGTATTTCCCAGGTGTCAGTACCCATGACGCATCATCTGGGTTGATCCACTGAGAATTTGCAGAGGGATTTGAAACAACTCTCATCTGTTGTCATGGTTACAGCCTTTGTTGTGACCTGAATTCAAAGCACCATGACATGAGGCTGATCACCGCGATACTAACACAGCTAACACTAAAGAGATAGTGTAGAGATAGTGTAGAGATAGTGTAGCCAGAGTTGAGTGATTGTGTGACAAAAGGCTGTTATTTTAGTTCAGTTCAGTTTACTTTGGTTTAAATTAACTTAGCTTAGATGATGTTACTTCCCATGTCCCTCAGGAGACAGTACTCAGGTGCAGGGAGTTTATTCATAAATGTCCAAACTTAAATACAACCAAAACTCACTGGGTAAACAGGGAAAAACAGGAACAGGAACAGGAACAAAGAGCAGGAAACAACGACCCCCAAAAAAGGCCGTGGTGTGGACGACTACTCTGTTTTACTACGTGACAACTCTCTTTTCAGGATAAATACCAGAGTTTTTCCAGCTATCCCGTTCTACTTCACTGATTCAGACCAGACTGTTCACTTAGAGAGCAATTCCTGCAGAGCTCTGGGCATTTGATAAAGCAATACGAAATGGAGCTGCCAGGTGGAAGGAAAGATGATGACACTACAGGAGATTTGTGGACATTTTAACGCAGGACATAAGAGGAGAGAGTCAAACGGAGGCAGTTTAACCAGTGAATGAGCAGGAACTAAACTCAGAGGAGAAGCTGAAGGAGAACGAGGCTGTATCATTTCAGTTGGTGCTTCTACCTGCATCACTGATTATTTATTCCACGTTGGAACATTAGATCTACAGCACATTTTTGAATTGCTACATTTCAAATGAGCAGGTTGAAATGATCTGACAGTGATTATTATTAAATATATATTTACTTATATAAACTGAATATTAAGGCAGATATAATAATCCTACAGTAGAAACTAGTGACTAGATAGTGACGAGTGCCACATGTGCTGTGTCTCTTCTCAAACTTCTCATTTCTTTACTGTAGATCCATGAATACAGAGTGAGAGATACTGAGATGATCCTGTTGCAGGTCTCTGATGGTATTAAGACCATTGGTCTCAATAAATAATGAGACATGCAGAAAGTTGGAGTCAGAGTAGAAGATACAGAGAACAGGGAGAGATGGAAATCAATGATTTGCTGTGGCAACCCCTGAAAAAGGGACAAAGCCAAAAGAAAAAGAAGAAGAGGACTCAATAAATAATGAAGATTTTTTTCGCTTTTATATTGAAGCTAAATTAAAAACTGAAATCAACTCATTTTATGACTGCGTGAAGGGAGAGAGAGACGGATATTTTTTTAAAGTACAATTTCCTGTAGTTCGTTTTAATACAAATCCATCTTCACACTGAAGTAAATCACATTGACCAGCGTGTCTGATTCCTCTGTCAGGAGTGGTTTCTGGGTAAGCCCCTCCACGACCAGGAGTCCACCATCATCCATCACTACGCGTTTGCAGAGAACCCCTCCATCTTCAAATACCCTGACTTTGCTGCTGCCTGGGCTTTAAGCATAACTCTGGTCATTAGGTGAGAGTCGAAGACACACACACACAGAGAGAGAAGACACTTTTCTATTATTTTAATTTAGATTTTAACCACATGTAAAATGATTTCTAGTATAATGGGCTCCTTACTGTAAATCTGACTTCACCTTTGACCTGAAACACGAAGGCTTATGCAATTATTTTAAGTTCCTTCAGGACACGTTTAATCCAGGAAGTGATGATTCAGCTTCTGGATTAAAGTTGTTAGAAAAGGACACTACTCGGATTCTTCTCGTCACACAACTCGTCTACACATTCCTTCTAACCCTGAAGTGAATTCTCATTACCCTGGAGAGTCTCTGTTGTGCTGTGTGGAGGTTCACATTTTTATCACTGAAACTCAGTGGAGGAAGCATCGAGGGATTTTATTGAGTAAACACAGCAGCGGGGTTTATCAGGCTCAGCCTGAAAATGGTGGTTCAGGTGGAGATAGAGTGGATTCAGTCACAGATATTCACCTAAAGTGTGACGGGATGTTCGTACTTGATTAGATTTGTTTTTAGGAATTGACAAAAATTGAAATATATATATATATATATTCCTCCAAACTGTGGGACTTTAAAGATGTTAAACACTTGACTGTTACGTCAGATTAGAGGTGTAACAGTAGGACAAAGCCACAGTTTGGTTCATTTTCTGTACAAACATGCACTTCCAGGGGCACTCAAACCAAAACCTTAACATTTTTGTGTACTACCCCACTACAACCATTAACACACATGAAGGAATACAAACGTTTCCTTGAGCTGTGATTATCAACTGTTCAAACCCGACAGACTGTTTTTTAATCCCTGGATTTAACTGTACATATTTAGTCCAGTGAGGCGTCGTTTCCCCCAAAGAATGAAAACTGCGATCTCGGCTGACTTGCAGTAAAAACATGGATTATTACCTACAGCGCTTGAGGTTTAGCCAAATGTTGTCCCGTCTGCCAACACTTACTGATGGAGAAAAATCTAATCAAAGTGATGCCCTGCAGTAAAAAAAAAAAGAAAAAAAAACCTGACTGACTTCAGGGAGTTTTTCTTTATAGGTAAGATTTTGGTAAAAACTGAAGTTCTATTAAACTGTTTAACAAACTAAATGATCTGTCAGAAATATTAATTATACACAATGATTCCTTTTTATGTTCTGACTAATTAAACTGACAAAATACAGGAACAACTTTTTTCGTCAAGGTGTAGGCAGGCTTCAAGTTACTGTTTATCCAGTCACCGAGTCATGATACTGAGTTTGTTTTCAGGTCCAGCACAGTGTGTCCTGTCAGACCTGTCACTCTGCAGGTCTCTGCTCCAAAACCAACTGAACTCTGGTCTCTAGTCACAACACACTATTTTTGTGGCAGTTTGACAAGGCTAGTTAAATTTGCTGCACAAAAAAAAAAAATCACAATTATTAAAAAAATATATAATCGTTGGGTTTTCCCTTTGATATTTGCAATATAATGTTTTCTTTTTTCTGAAGACGAGATATGAGTTGTTTTTAGTTCAACAAACACTCTGACCATGTTTGGGTCTCACAAACATCACCTGCACTTTTTCCCTTTGGTTGTTACATTTACATTTCCCTTCACTTTAACACTCAGCTCATGGCCCGTCTCATTACAGGAACTGCTGTTATTCCCACAGAGCTTTGTTTATGAGGATCACAACAACAACAACAGAGGAGGAAATCACATCTGGTTTTTGTCCATAACACTAATGTGTAATGATGAACCTGAATGACCATGGCTGGTGTTTGAAGTGTGTTCAGTGTTTACTGACACAAAGGTAAAACGCTCATCTAGACCGACTGTTGCTGTTCTGTTCTGGAAATAAAATGTCTATTAATTACTTTGCCCAGCACTAAATACACACCAACGAGGTTTTTGTTTTTGCCTATTTATTCAGTTGCTGACACACAGTAGCTCTTACAGTAGGAGAGAAAACCAAAGAAGAAACCAGTCAGAACAGCCAATCCCAGCCAACGCTGTGACTAACCCTGAAGTCGTTGATTCGGCAGCACACGTACAGTAGTTTCTGATTCATCTACATATCACTGCGCAGATGTGTCACTGCTTTGACAAACCACTCTTTCTGTTGTCAAAGGAGAAGCCCGCTGAACAAGTAAGATATATTGGTGTCTGTGAGAACGTGTAGGAAGTTTCTCAGTGGCGGTGAGTCACACTCCCTCTGTCACAGAAATAAACCCTCACTCCTCTACACGACAGGCATTTGTCTGCATTTGCTGAATTTGTTTTGACTGCAGTGGAAGTTGGACAAAGATTGATCCTTTTTGGTCTTTTATGTGAGTCGACACATTCTCTGTTGTCTCTGTTCAGTGTTTTTAAATTCTCGATGGACGTCGTCGTTGCAAAAAAAGATAGACGGTGATCAGTGGAATTTAAACGTAGTATATAAAATAGAACATAAACTAAACTTATTAAAAAAAACTGTCATTTGATAATGATGAACAGCACAACAATGTCAGCTGTGGACACGGCTCTGGAGGCCCTTAGTGACGACAGCACATACTGTACAGTACGTGAATGACACTGTTGGTCAGTGTATGAGGACAGAGAGATGAACTGTCACCAAGTCAGGAAACAAGAAAACCTTTAGGTTCTGAACTTTTAGAATTTTTTAAAAGAAAAAAAAATCTCCTTGAAAAAAACAGTCATCACCTAAACTGTGTTTCAAATGTATCTTTCTCAACATCCTGATGACAAACTGACTTATTTTCTCTCACTTTTTTTGCTCTTCAGTTTTGGTTTGATTGGTCACACCAAGGCGTATTGACCAATCAGGTCCCTTTCCCTGGTATGTCCTGTCTGTAGTGATGGTTTTTCTTCAGACAAACAGTATTTATTGGCCTGTTCTGATCTGTATGAACGTGTTGTTGCTAATAAAGTCATCATATCTGAGAGTCTGATATTCATAATCCTTCACCAGTCACGTAGATTCAGTAATCTCTCACTAACCTCCAGCAGTTCTGATCTATGCCAATTATATTAGAATGGAATTATTTCAGCCATTTTGTTATAACAACTAAAAACACTAAAACACTAAAATAATGGCTGTCCCTCAACAGTGATAGCCTTAATTACAGTAATTACCAAAGCCTCTGCCAAGACGCCATCATTTGTTTCAACTGCTGACAGGATGAAAATAAATATTAAATAAATGTATCACAGAACAGCTGAGGTTGCTGAGAAATGAATATATATATATATATATATAAACGCAATGCATTACTGTAATGATGTTGTAGCAGTACATGCTGCTGCTACATCATTTAAATGTAAAGTCAGTCGGTCAGAACTGGACTGTTGAACAGACAAATAGAAAATCCAGCTGTGGCCAGTTCTTTTTTGCCTAAGAATGATACTAACAGTTTTTAGTCATCAAGGGATCATAATCATTTAAACAGAGGTAGCATAGTGTAACATAGTATAGCAGTAGCATAGCATCCTTTAAGTTGAAAATATGTTTATATATATATATATATATATAAATGTCTACTAAAATTGGCAAAAATAGAACTCAACACTAATCACATGGATGATTTTTTTCTGCCTCACTACTGCCTGTAGATTATTATAGACAATATAGTCAACATTTTGAAGTCAAATTAAACGGCTAACTGTTGTTGCTCTGAGGCAGATGGACAGACAGCAGATGTAACAGTATTTCAAATAATCACCTCTTCATCTGCTTTTAATCTAAAGTTTATTAAAAAAAAAAAAACCCTGACAGGCTGGTGAACAGTTAGAGTCCACATTCACGCCGTTTGAAAGCTGGGACTTCAGGGTAAATGTGAGTTTGTAGGAAATGTTTCTCTGTGTGTGTCTCACCTCGTACACAAAGTCTGGGTTAGAAGACTGGACCACTTTGCTGCGTGTTGCAGTGTTGAACTGTGAATACATTCAGACGTAGCCTTTGAGCTGTAGAAAAATGAACCTTTAAAGTAGAGCAGGAGATTCTTTGCCAAAGGCAAAAACGTTTCTTCATGAACAAAGTGTATGGGGAGAACTGACCTTATCACTCTGATGGTACTTCAACAGCCCATTAACTGTTGTGGAATAGTCCCACAGTTCAGCTGGAAGTTTGAGAGCAGGGCAGGATCTGCAGCACTCTGGTCTGGGGAAATAAATCATTTAGGAGTAATATGATATCAAAGAAGTGAAAACCACAGTTTGTGAACTTAGCTGGTATATATCTGGGCACACGAGTACAAAGTTAGAATTCACAAAATTATTTACATAAAAAAAAGTTAAACAACCACACTTTGATTTGGGAACATTTTAAATTCGACAAAAATTATTCAGAAACACATTAGCCATAAAAAAACTAATTGTTTAAAAATAGATAAATTGCATGTTCTGTAGGTGTAATAGCTAAAAGGTAAACTAAGGTCAAATTTACAGAATATAGCAAATTTTAGTTAAACAAATTCAATGATTCAATGATTCAATTTTTGTCAAAATATCTGTCCACAAAGTCATTTATTGATAAAAATACACGTTTGTTTTTTTTTCCAAAGAGAACAATTGTGATTTTTTTTTTCCCCCATGAAACTCAGAGCAGAGTCTTTATCAACCACTGCTCTGCTCTTTTATGACTAACATCTGGTGACAAAGCCCAAAACTGCAGCTGCGAGTGAAAATGTGTCAGGCATGATTGACCTGCTGAGACACCAGGCAGAACAAACCTCGGGAGAAAAACATTTTCCAACTGGTCGGAGAGTTTGCTGATTCTTTAAAAGGCAAATTTAAACTCAGCAACTTCCCGCAGCTTATTTCCCTGGGGAATATTTAGAAAATCATTTCTTCCTGAAATACTGGAGGTTGACACCGCTGTGAGAGAGGAGCGCGGACGTAAAAGCAGATAAGGGATGAATAGATGAATGATACGATCGTTCATCCATTTAAGACAGACGTGTATTTTTCTGGTGCCTGAACAGATTATTATCATTCTTATTACAGCCTGTCATGTTGACACGTTCATCCCTCTCTCCTTATTTAAAGGCAGGTTTTATCCTCACCCTCAGATTTCAGATCAGATTTACTGTTAGGTGGATTCTCTGAAAGGACTTTGATCCATTACAAATACTATTATATTATTGTGTATTATACACAGAAGGTATTTTAATTTCTAAAACAGCATGTACTTCACTGTCATACCACTACCATAGTTGTGTATTTCTGGTTTGAAAACCTAATGGTTTATTATCCAGATTTGACTTTTTCAAGTTTTTTCTTTTTGTGTAATACACAATAGTACAAAGAGGTAGTATTTTATTTGTCATTTCAAATGACTGACAAATAAATCTGGCAATCAAAACTAAAAATACATTGAAAAAAAAAATATCTCAAGTGCAGTGACAGCTTGTCAGAGGCCAAAAGTAGTTCTGCACTGAGACCCTCTCACTATTGACAAGGTTGACAGAATAATTCAAATAAGTGGCAAAACTTGTTTTACATTGAGTCAAATGAAGTCACGAAAACACTCAAACTGTTGAAAAGTCAGCGCAGAGACAAACACCAAGTTTCACACAGAACACGCTGTATCTAACGTGAGCTCATATAGAACTTCATAAATGCTGTATGATACCAAACCTGTAGAGCGAGTGTTTTCAGGAGTCTCCAGGCCTGTCTGTAAGGACAGCTCTGGTTCTGAATCAGCGCAGCTTCAGTTTCCTGAGGTTCTGAGCATTTGGTTGAAAATTATTTCATAGTCTGATTGCCCGTGGCCTAGAATGTCGCCTGAGATGTTTCATGTTGCATCTTAATGTGATGATGCACCATTTGTAGCCACTTTCAGCCCAGCAGTGGGAGGAGTGGGGGTGGGTGATCACCAGAGTGTGGATTCATCTCACCTCCACTTCTGCTCCTGTCTCCAGGCAGCTCAGGTCTTTACCAGGACGTGCTGTGTTTGGATCCAGATCGAAAGGATAAGCTCTGCTCGAAAAAGTGAAAAACAAGTCTTTTTGTAAATTTCAAAAAGAGAAAAGTGGGTTTTTTTTAGTTACTATTTTCTCAATCAAACCAGTGAGCCAGTGATCTTCTTCCTGTCACCATGTGACCTGTGATGTCATTATTATGGTTGAACCAGATACTGTCTAACAACGAGCCTTCTGATGCAGACCAGTTTCAATAGAAATCATAATAGAAGTGACTGTATGGTCTGTATCCAGGTCAAACGTGAGTGAAACAGCTAATGGTTTGAGAAAAGACTGTTCTGATGATGAGACTAATCATGATTCCTAGCTTTTGTGCTACGACAATGCTAGTGCTATTATGACAGACATCAAACCGCAGCTACAGCGATACTCTGTTCAAGGAGGAGATTAGGTTTATATCAGCTGATATAATTACAGTCAATATGCAGTAAGTGCTGCACAGTGTAGAACACTGATTCTGGCATTTTGTGACGATAAGGACAAGAGAGCGCTTGTCATTTTGATGACAGTGGACGAGTGAAGGAAACCCATAATGTTCCACTTGTAACGTCTTGGCTGTATAACAGCCGTGCTGGATTAGTGGCTGATTCCAACAGTCAGAGGATAACAACCTCTGTGGGGCCGAAGGTCTACACGTTCTCTGAATATTTTGTGCTAGAAAACCTTAATGTGGATTTTATAGAAATATGGCTCTTGTAACTTGGTCATTGTTTTTAACTACAGAATTGTCACAAAAGGAGACTTTTATTAAAAGGTTTTGAAATTTAAAATGACTTTTTCTGACTAAAAAGGAAGAAAAACAAGCCAAAAAATACATTTAAAAGACGCTCGTTTGTGCTGACAATGAACTAATGAGCCTGGTTTCCTCATAAGAAAACCAGCCTCGCCTGTTGACAGCTGTGATTGGCTCCAGTGGCCCTGTATAGAAATAAGCAGTAGATAATGGTTGGATGGATGGATGGATGGTCAGTGACCCTCACATCATCATGTTCCAGAACCTTTGTCTCCAGGAGATGACATGTCCCCCCCCCCCACACACACCCCTCCCTGAGTAAAGAGGCTCAACCTTGAAAATTGTTTACAACTTTGCTTCTCAACCTATTTGTGCCTGAACTGTGTTTCCTTGTAGCTGCCGTTGTCCAACTCTCTCATAGATCATTAAGTTGTGTCCATCATTTTTCCCCACTGTGTGCCAACTTTTTTTTTTTTTTTTTTTTAAATCCGCGAGCGACAACAAATGAATGTTGAAATACTTGGGATTTATCCAGAATCCATGAAGTAGTCAGTGGGGGATTCTCAGGGTTGGTGAACAGCCAGATGAAGAAGCTCCACTGACATTTTCACAACTGTATTCAATTTCAATCAAATAAAACTCATGATGACGTTTGATGGTTTAAATATGCTAATTAGACAGCACTACAGAAAATACCATCAGTATTTAAATCAGAAGAAAAACCTGCCATGGAGTCAGAGACCTATGGTTTAATAGTTAGGCTTTTATTTTTGTCTGTAACTGGAAAACCTTGGAAAATGTTATTTAACAAATATCCAAAGTAATTCTTCAATATATAAAATATTCAAATGATACAGAGTCAAAGTCAAGGATTTGTGATTGAGTTTGGTTTTCTTTGCTTTACAAGTTTATTAAGGCCTTGAAATTTTATGCTGATGTTTACCAGGAGCAGCCTTGAGTTCAAGGATCTGCATTCACTGCCTTGACTGATTATTTATCACGGATGCTCGACTCCAACTATTCCATTCACAGCATCAAGAGCCGGCTCTTCAAACCACATCAGGAGTTTATAATCACATCTATACAGTAGCCGGCTCTTCAAACCACATCAGGAGTTATACAGCTATACAGTATATACACACCTGTACAGGTACTTCATATATATTCTACTTCTTACTGTTATATTCTGGACATGTTCAAGAGCAGTAACTGGGGATTAAATAAGAAATAATGTTGCCAGATTGAAAAACTCACTTTACAGGAAAGAGGAGGAAGGATGACCAAGGACATCAACTGACTAGCCAATGAAGGCAGAGTGTACTAGCCAATCACAGCATGCCACATCTATCCTGCTGTTGTTCCAAATGAAGCGTAACAAGACAAACTACTGACTGTTACATTCTGACTGTTACACTCACGTGAGAAAACTCAAACAACAATAAAAAAAAAATCCAACAAAGGAACGACAGAACATGTGACACACAGAAGTGTTAAAAAAAAAAACCCAAAAACAAAAAACCCCACACCAGTACAAAAAAAAAAAAAAAAAACCCACAACAGTAACCATCAAGACACACAGTAACAAGTGATGACCCGACAAAGAAAGAGTGAGGGAGAGAGGTATTTATACCAAGGGCAGCAGGTGAGACTGATTAACAGGAACTCAAGGGACACAGGTGAGTGTGATGAAACTAATTAACCCTGGAGAGACAGACAGACAGACAGACAGACAGACAGACGTGACATTAGACATTATCATTTAGAGACATGAGAAACTAACAAGAGCCTCATGAGCAACAGAAAAGCATCTAATCCAAAGACATTAATGTGTGTTTGAGCAGATTAACAAAACTAGTCCAAAATGCTTAAAATTAACTGACTTGGCAACCCTGGGCGGTGGTTGACAAAACTGAAAGGAGGCTACTTATGACCTAATATTCACAAACATACATTCATCGACTGAGGTTTGTGTTGTTTCACAGTTAAAATAGAAGAGAAACATGAAGGATCTGATATTGTTTAATGAACTCACCCCCAAACAAACCGAAAAATAAAAGGCAAAAAACATTTTTTGAACTCACCCCCAAACAAACCGAAAAAAAAAAGGCAAAAAAAAAATTAAAAAAAAAGATGAAAAAGAAAACCTCGGGCATAATTCAACATCTTTAAAAAAAACCAAAACAAACTTTGGACGTTTTGTGGGAGTGAGGGGAGAGTTGATGCAAGACTGTGAAATGAGATGACAGAAAAACTTCATCAACTTTATACTGGAGCTGCTCAAGGTCACAGCTGTTTTCTGTTTCAGTGAAAAACACTGACATCTAATGATAGATGATGACAGAGACTGTGGAACCAGGTTAATGTGGAGTTTATTATTGTACCTTTCCAGGCCTTAGACCGATATGAACGACGACGAAGACGGAAGAGGAACGCCTCCGAGATGGAAATGATTTTGTTAATTTCATTCACGTCAACGGTTCAAGGTCTCCTTTCTTGTTTCCTCATTTAGAACCAAGGTGGAAAGAAACACCTTGGGTTCTTTATGAATTAAACAGTAGATTCCCAGGTTCTTTGTGTTGCTTCCCAACAGGGATTTGAACGCCTCAGTGCTCAGCCACGACGGTACCGTAGGCAGATATTTGGATTGTGACGGGTGAATGTATTTCCCTAGGCTTCTCCTATTTGTAGTGTGACGCCGCGCCAGGGTTTTGTTTAGAGCAGTTTCCAGGATGAGATCGTTCTGTTTGACGAAGTCAAATCTGTCAGATCTGGCAGATTGAAAGGTTTCATTTGTCAGAATCCACAAAACAAAACAACAACAGAATAAACAAAAAAAATCTTACATTTGTGGTGTGAGAACAGACAGAATCTGTTTTTGTCAGTTTCAAAGTTTCAAAGCCTACAACTGGTGTAAGAACAGAAATATGCTCAAAGTTTAAGGAAAGTTGTCTAAGGTCAAGAGTAACTGATCGGGTTTGAAGAAGGAGTTGACGTTTTAATCAGTCACGATCGGGATGAGCGTGATTAAAGATTAGCCTGGTGATTACAAATGATGGAAATTAAAACAAACACACGTTAGACTTGCTAATTATGCTGCAAAAAAACCCCAAAAAACATCACAGTAAAACTGAATCTTTACACACAGTTTTCATGCATAAGAAAAACTAAATATGGAAGTACAACAAACATGCAAATTCTCATTAGTGACTTTTCTGTGAATGAGCAGCAGAATCCATTTGTCAGTGTTTATCTGCACTTTCTCGCTGTTCTAAACTTCGCAGCACTGCAGCTGCCAGTTTGTACAGGACTGATGATGTTTGTTGTGTTTGAGATAAGCAGCTGCAGTTGTGCGTTCACGTTTCCCTCGTGCAGAGCCAAAACACTTCTGCCTTTCACCTCTGAAGCTGCAGCGTTATTTTCTCCTTCAGTCATCGTCTTATCAGAGGATTAAAAGAAAATTTGCTTGAGGAACTGAAAGGAACGAAGTCACTCAGTTCAAAGATGGATGACACCAAAAAAAGTCACAAGTCACAAGTTACTGACTGACTCATTTTTTCGGAGAAAAACCTGAATGACCTTGTCGTCGCTTCTGATTCTCTAGATTTGCTTCAAAAAGGGTAAAACATTTCTGGTCATTCTGTTCCCTTTGCCAAGGCTAAACATCCAACATTTCTCATCATAGAAGAAGACACAAACGATCTACATATGCTAACTGAGCATGGTGAAAACCCAGGTGGAGTCTGGGTAAAAGGCATAGTACAGCACACACTGTATGAGACATAGACTTTCTTACATTGATGACAAAGGTGATAAACAACCCAGTGTGTTTTGTGCAGTGAACTGTTGGTAGGTGAAAACATGAAGTTGTCAGAACTGAAGCAGCATTTGGAAACGCAAGACTATTTTCTCGAAGATAAACCTGTAGAGAACTTCAGAGGACGGCTACAAGGCCTTCGTAGATCACAGAGGTGTCTCACTTCATCACACTCCAAGCTGACAGTGATATCTCAGCTCAGGTGCAAACTGCATCATCTTTTCGTTCAATAAATCAGGGACGTTGGGGGAAAAAAACCCAAAAAAACCTCTCCTGGATTCAGGTCGTGGCTTGTTCCTGCTGGCATCCTGCTGTTGTACAATCTTTTGAAGTGGAAGTTTACAACCTAAGAATGAAATCTGAGGTCCTTCAGGCCTGGGGTTCCCACAGCTCTCCATGCAAAACAGCACTAGCTGCTGGCAAACCCACAGGCAACGCTACAAAACGTGTCAACTGTTGTTGAATGTTTTCTTCTATTCACTATTCAATAATTATTACATTTGTTCAGCATATAAATAAATGTGTTTAAGCACCAAATAACAAACATAATAATAATATGTTTTAACATGGTTTACTATTTCAGTCTGCTTCTTGTTAAAAACCTGTCCATTTTGCGCTAGCTACCGTGTTCCATTTTAGCCTGTATACACTCGCTCCCTGAGCCCGGCCTCATGTGACGGTTCCTGAAAATAAATCATTTTGTCCCATCTTTATTTCTGGGACATCCAGACGCCCTCCAGTCCACCAGGGGCTCACCTCTACCTACAAACAAACACTGGAACTGGAACGCTGACCCTGTTGTCATTCTCAAAAAAAGGCTCAAGGACGACTGGAGGTCCAAACCCTGGGCTGGACTAAGTGAGAGCGTGAAGACAGTTTTAATGATGTCAGGAACATGGATGTTCTCAATGAAAGTGTGAGGGAGAATCAGTGTGGAGTCGTTCCAGGCGGAGTGGCCCTGCGGACGATCTGGGTTTATGAAAAGTCTGTTAGCCTCAGGCATTTAAAACACTGCTAGAAGTCAAGTAGACATGTTTCCAACACACCTCTGAGTTGTAACCCATTTTCTTGAAACGGGTTGCGGTCCTCGTGGGATACCGTACGGTGAGTGGTGGTGAGGCAGTGCCGTGCACTCAGGGAAACCCTCTGCATAATGTATTGTGTGTGTATATATATATATATATATATATATATATATATATAAAGCTCCACAAAGCATGCATGGTTACCCAGTCTTTCTAGCTCATCAGCAGCAAATGCCCCATCTGTCCAGACCACTTCTTTTTACCCCGTCGTCTTAGTCTAAAGTAAACATATTACCTGAACCTGCCTGTGACAGGGTGACCTTTATGTAACCTCTCCACAATTAGTCATATTAAACGGGTTTTGAAAATAAAATGTGTTTTTTGAGTGTTTTCTAGTAATGCTATTGCAAAGCTGCTATTATTTTCATATTAACATATTCATATTAAACTTACAGTCTGCCTTGGAACTATTTCCTGTGTCACTGAGGGTAAGGCTACACTGGCTGCTGGGTTTTATTATTATTTCATTTTACATCAAAAACACTGTTTCTCTTTATTTATTATTACTGTGCACATATTCATACATTCAAACATTAATTTTTATATGAATATTTAAATGGTTGAACAGGTTGAACGTGATGTGTTTTGATGCCTACATAAAGCAGAGTACATCAATTTAAAGTTTATAAAATACATTTACTCACCCATCAAGGTGGAGGCAGAACAACAGCTGCTGTTTCTTAATTAGTGTTAAAACACATTTTGAAATGTTTTGGTTTTGTATTGTCAAAACTTGACATCTACTTCCTGTGAAAGAAAAATGCGTGATGAGTGAGGAATGAGAACTTAAGGCACAAACAAAAACATCAGGTCACAGGTGAGATTGATGAAACTAATTAACCCTGGAGGCTGAACAGAGAATATTATGGTTTGTTTTTGTTTTGTTTTTTCTAATTAACCCTGGAGGCTGAACAGAGACATTATGGTTTGTTTTTGTTTTTTGTCTGGTTCTAAGACAGAAACATTTCAAAGTCTGGGGATCAAACTTTTAAGAACAGTTTTATTGCTCTGAGGGAAGGAAAGAAAGAAGTGAAGGGAGAGACTAATGGTGCCGACGTTACCAGCAGCTCTGTCCAAACCTGAACAAAACATTTCTTTGTCACCTGCATGCACACACCAGGGTTTGACACAATGACAGCTAAACTTGACATTACTGGTAAATAATGGAGCAGCGGACGCCCTGCCAGGCAGCAAACAGGGCAGGAACATGTCTGTAAATAACTGACTACAGACGTAGACTTTGGGAACACGTGAAGCTCGTAGACCATGTGTGAGGGAGTCCAGGTTACAGACATGAAGTCTGGAAAGTAGAGTGTGTCGTTTTGAAATTTAAAGTTATGTGACAGAAGATTTTTTTTTATAAATGTTATCTGCAGACCAGGTTAATTCAACTTTTTTATATCTTCAAGACTATTAAGGTTTTTCTTTATACTTTTAGGTAATTTGGTTTATAAATTACCTAAGTTCAAAAACTTACATTGCTTTTACTGTTTTTCAAATATTTAAGGCCAGTGTTTTGTCATTTCTGTAATAATTCTACCTGTTCTTAGCTTAGCTTATTTTTTTAGCCATTTTGGGTAACATTTTTATAACATATTTTGTTTAAATTTTATCCATTTTTGCTGA